CATTTTTATTCCATCCTCTTCCCGCACAATTTTCAAAATCCACTTTAAGATTTCTTATTTTACATATTTCATTAACCTTTTGGGTCAACACTATTTTTTTCCTTCTATACCTTATATGTAACAGACATTTTGGCATTTAATTGGATTCTGTTTATTTCATGTGTAAATTCTGTCTTTCCTCTTAAATGTCAAGAACCTTGAAGAGCGCAAGGACCTGAGTTCGATCCCTGGTACCAAAAAAGAAGAAAAAAAGAACCTTGAAGATGTCCCCTCCTTTTTTTTTCTGGTACCATAGCCTGATTTCTTTGTAAACAATTCTTCCTTCATTTGTTGATCTTTCAGTCACAGATTCCTGACCTCTTCCAAGCAAGGCGAACTGTCTTATTAGGAAGTAGTGAAAGCTGGAGAAAAAGGCCTCTTTTCCACATCACCCACAGTAAGTACCATCCAAGCATCGAACAGGACCATCTTAGTTGTCACACAGATAAAACCACTCTGAGAATCAAGGCAACTGTATTCACTTGCTGTTGTTATAACAAATTATCACAAATGTAGTGCCAAAGAAATGGAGACTTTTTTTAATCTTACAGTTCTGTAGGTCCAAAGTACTACATGGGTCTTATTGAGCTAAAATTCAGGAGGAAGTGTTTCCTAATTGAGCAAACACACATTTGAATACGGAAGTAGCACTACATATGCTCCTCAGAGTCTGAAACACATTCACTTAGTCACATCCAACAACCCCAATTTGGCAGGCCTCTGTGGAAGGTGAGATTCCTTACCATTGCTGCCTCTGCCCTCATGCCCACTGCTAAGGACTCAGGTGCTTCCTTCCCTGGGTTCAGGATGATTTTTTTTTTAGACGAAGACTGGCTTCCCAAAAGATCTGTACTCTCATTTCAGCATTCTACCTCTTGGGGCTCCTTTTGGTCCCTCTGAATGGCCCAACTATATTTCTGCATTCACATCTAGAACTCTACCTGAAATGCTCTTCCCCCCAGCTCTCTAGATGGCTGGCTCCCTCTTATCAGGGCCTTAACCAGCCATGCTCTTGAAAGAAAATTCTCAGCCAGGCATGGTGGCACGCACATGTAATTTCAGCACTCTAGGAGGCTGAGGCAGGAGGATCACAAGTTAGAGCCCAGTCACAAATTAGCAACTTAGCAAGACCTTCTTTCAAAAGGAATAAAAACGGCAGGAGGGTATTTCAGTCCAAAGGCTCTAAGTTCAATTCTCAGTATTCCCATAAATAAATAAATAAACACTAAAAAATTTTTTTAAAAACTCTAACACTTCTTTACTATCTCACAGACACTGCCCTTCATATTTAATTTTTTCACTTAATAATAGCAATAGGGGCTAACACACTGGGAACTTAATATGTTCCAAGTTTGTGCTAAACACTTCCTATGATCTGGAGATGGTTTCGGTCTTCCTCAAGGCTTCACGTGTTAGAATTTAATTCCTATTGTGAGACATTAAGTGAATGGAAACAATCTGACTATGCTGCTAAGAGGTGGAGAACTTTGGCAAATTATTAGGAATCCCCATGACTGACTCTTAGTGGCTTTACAGGAAAAGGGAAAGACCAGAAAAAATATATATATATGGATATATGAACATATACACATAGGCATATATGTATGTACACCTGTATGTGTGTGTATGTATGTGTATGTGTATACATATACCCATGCTCCCTGTCTCTTGCCATGTAATGCCCATCCCCACCTCAGGGCTCTGACAGCAAGACCACCATCACCAGAACCATGAGCTGATATAAACTTCCTTTCTATACAAGTCACTCCGTCTGTGGTACTGTGTTACCAGCAATAGAAAATGGACTGATGCAGCATTTTATGTGGATTATCTTATTTAACTACCATAACCACCACACAAGGTAAATTCTATCATTAGCATCACTTCACAGATAATGAAAAGTTAGAAGTGAGAGGTTGCATAACTTCATTTATGGCCACAGGGCCATGTGAAACCAAGCCCACATTAGTAAATACTACCACATCACACTGATCTGTTAATGTCTTCCCCTGTCCTGATGACATCCACCCCAGACTATGAAACTCAAAAGATATCATTCAACAAAGTATCTCATCTGGGTGTGGTGGTGCACACCTGTAATTATAGCACTAGGGAGGCTGAGGCCAGAGGATCACCAAGAGTTCAAGCCAGCCTGAGTTACTTAGCAAATTCAAAGCCAGACTAGACTATACAGCAAGATCCTGTCTCAAAAACAAACAACCAAACAAAAAAATGAAAACCAAATATTTCAGTCCCTATTGGCATAAAATAGGTGAATTAAAGTAATACTCTATGATTTTTCTTCATACATCTCAACCCACCTAAGGCCTTCCCCCAAATTCTTAGCACAGGACCCAGCCCCTAGAAGGTATTCAATATATCCAGAAAAATCTCAGCATTGTAGAGAGCCTTTGTGACCACCTAGCTATGTCCCCTTAGTTCATCAAAGGGGAATGGCTTTTCCAGGGTCTTAAAGAGACAACTGAGCAAAATGTACAATGAAGGGTACATAGGTTTCACAGACCCTAAGAGACAGCATTCTAACAAAAGACTGCAGTCAGTGTGCAGGTGCCCTGCTGAAGTGGAACCTAGGAAGAAAGACTAGGATGCTATACTTGCCTCTTACAAAAAAAACCACCCTCTGCCCAATGCCCTATTCCTTCTACAAACTGTCCAACACCTGAAACCTGTTATTAGAAAACTTATCACCCAAGCACACACCTAAAGATCTCTCTAGGGACCACAGGGTTCCTTGCTCTCCCCTTCCCACCTTTCTTCCCATGTCCCCTGGAGATAAAGAGGCAAAAATACCCGGTAACAGTGGTCTGGAGGCCCTCTGATAGCACCTTCAGAAGCAGGGAAGGCTTTTTTGTGGAGGACAAATGGGGCTGCTGGTCTGCTTCTGGTTATTCCGGTATACCCAGCTCTACAAAGTCCTGAGCATCTCCATCAAACAAGGTCTCAAGAATCCCAAATTCTATGTCACTTGCAAAACAGGACTAACAAATGCCAGTCTAGTCTAGACTAGAACAAAATTCTAGTCTAGCATGACTACAGAGAGTTTCTAGGATGAGGTGGTACAGAGACTGTGCTTCATGGGGACAAGGAAGCAGAGCAAACAGCAGGTGAAATAAAATGGAAAACATGAACTAATGTTCACTGAGTGCTTACTTTGTCCTTGGAGATTTTCTTCTTGGTGCTGTTTTACATACAGTAGCTTGCTGATGTTTCACAATCTTTATGAGGCAGGCACTATTAATATACCAAATGCAGAACCCAAGGCCTGGAAGTGTTCAGTAACTTGTCTAGGGGGCTGGGGATGTAGCTCAGTGGTGTCACACCTGCCTGGCAAACACAAGGTGGTGAGTTTGATCCCCAGTTCCACCCCCCAAAAATAAAAAAATAACTTGTCTAAAGTAATCCAGTTATTGGCATGGTTGGGATTCAAATTCAGGTTTGCCTGACTTCAAAGTCCCATAACACCATGTACACCACCTGCTGGGGGATGGCATGTGTGAAAGACAGGACTATGTATGAAAGAGTAAGGGATCTCTGAATGCCTAGCCACCAGTCTGAACACTGTTCCACAAGGGGGTCCATGTGCTGAGAAATGTTGCAGGAAGAATGGCCTAGCTTGTTTACGGAGGATGATGGAGGAAGATGGCAACCACATGCCCCTAGAAGATCTACAGGAAGGAAGGCAACAGCAGGAGTAAAGAATGTCAGAAGAGAAGCCAAATGAATGCCAAATGACCATCAATGGTGTTCATTTTTATATTTAACAAATAAAGACGTTCCTCAAGTCTCAGTCCTCAAAACTCACAGCACCTTCAATTCTTGAATTGTTCTCTTCTTCCTCAACTCTACTCAAGAAAGGTGAACAACTTTTCTTGCAGATTTATGTTTAAATCATGATATCTATAATTTTTTACTTTACTGGGGATTGAATCCAGGGCCTTCTACATGCTAGATAATTGCTCTACCACAGAGCTACATCCCTAGCCCTTTTTATTTTGATACAGTCTCCCTAAATTGCCCAGGCTGGTCACCAACTTGCCACACTCCTGTCTCAGCCTCCCGAATAGCTGGGATTTACAGGCCAGCACCACCGTGACTTAACCTCTAAATTTCTTGATGAAAAAATTTTCTCCAGTGGGTAAACCATCTGGCTATCTTCCCCCTCCAGTAATAAGTACCTTGCTCAAAGGTATCATTTGGGGATCGGGGATGGGAACCTCACCCTCGGGGAAAATCTAGAAACAGGGACACCTCTCAGTCCATCTGTTGCAGCTGTGCCTGTGGGTGTCGATCTCACTTTGGAGCTGTGTGCTGAGAAGAAAAGGGAACTCTGCTTCTTGATACTCTTGTGTAAGAATCCTAGTTCCAACAGCAGCGCCCCCTTCCCCCGCTGGCTGAGTTGAATTTCACCCAAATAGTTCTGTGTGAACAGGCACCCCTTTACTCTCCCAAACTCCTTAGGAAACCCACCCAGCCAGCGGTTCAGTTTAGAAGGAACTCTTCACAAACAAGGCTCAGCAATTTCCCAGGAGTGCTCAGCCCGCAGGTTAAAGAGAAGACAATGGGGGGGGGGGGTCCGCTTAGCTTGTCTAAACTTTCCCAGGGCACAGCTCAGGCTACGTCTGGGTTAAGAGGCTTGTATGGGCACCCTTTACACCCGCCACACCACTCCCAAGAGATACTCTCCTTCCAAACTACAAAAGGAGCACGAGATAGGATAAGAGGCGGTCCAAGCAGAAACGAACCACTACGGTTCTAGCCTTGCTTATGTCTGGACAGGCGCCGAGCCGCAGCTCTAGGTGGATCCCCTTTCCGTACACCCGTCGGCAGCTACAGCTTTCCCAGGTCTTTCAAGACCACCCTGCCCCTGCTTCCGGATTCCTAGCCCGGGGCGGACTCCACACTGGTTATTCAAGGCCTCTCCGCCCAGGCCCGTGGCTTACCCTCTAGCGTCTCGCACTGCACCAGGTTGAGATAGTCGGCCTGGCTGAGCACCCCTGCCTTCAGGCCGCGCACCAGTCCCTCCAAGTAGCCATTGTCTACGTTGAAGTATAGCTCCGGGAAGAACGACATGGCTGCAGCAGGGGCGGCGGCCCTGGAAAGCCCCGACCGGCCTGCAAGCAGCGCAACTCCAAAATCAGCTGACGCGGCGTCGGCCAGGGGCTGTGAAGTGCGTCAGGTGACGCACAAGACCCTCACGTGACCACAACTGAGCTGCGTCCGGCTTCCGGGTGGTTTCAAACGCAAGCATTGCGCAGGTGTGAGCTACAGACCGCCCTGTGGCGCCTGGGCGCTGAGGGGAGGCGGCCCTCTGGCTCCCCAGTTTGAGAGCTACTTAGATGTCCGAGGCCGACCGCATGATGTCGCTGTTGGCTGCAGAATTAGATCGGGACCCTCTTGCTTTCCCGGGTGAAGGGTACCTGGCACTGCAGGGTCGGCGGGGTAAAGGTGTAATTGGGAGGACTTCTTATCCTTGCAAAGATTCCACACTGCTGAGCCAGACTCTTCCTAAAGGGGAACTGAGATACGGTGAGGAGCGGACTTTGCTGGAGGTCACAATTAGCTGCCAGCAGACCCTGGAGCCTAATGCTTACTTGCTAACAGCCGGTGTGCTGCGGTGTGCTGCGCTGCGTCCGGCTTTCACTGCATTGATGCACAAGATTCTCCAGGGCTGGAATGCGACTTTTTTCTGCTTCCCCCAAAGGTGCCTAGTGCCTTAAAAGCGCGCGTGTATCTGGCTAAGATAACGGGTAGCCCAGGCCCTGAGGTAAGGGTGTGTGTGATTTCCTGGCTAGGTGACACCCCCTACTTCTTCCCTGAACCCAGCCCCCCTACAACGCCCACGTTCGAAAGAACCACAGACTTTGGATTGGTCCCATCCTTTATTTGCGTCTCCCGTCTCTGTCCAGATGTTGGCCGGTTAGGTGCGACTGCAGGGATTCGTAGCAGTACCCAGCTTGCGGCAGTAGCAGAAAGCGTTGAAGAAGCGGCAGTAGCATGTGGCGCACGGGTCACAGCATGGTACTTGCTGCCCCAAGCAGGACTCGTGCACCCTTACACAGCGGCGTGGGGTGCGGGGCTCGCGGCTCTGTGCGTCTAGCACCTGCGTTGGCAAGGGAGCAGGAACGTGGGCATGGGCCTCCAAAAACAAGTTCTAGGGCCTCATGTGCTCTAATCCATGCAGGATGGCAGTAGAATGTGGTCTACAGTGCCCCCCTCCCACCTGGTGAGGGTGTCTGGAGGTAGGGAGAGGGGATGGTACTAAATGCCCCCTGCCTGGCACCTTGCCCCTTTCCCTGAGCAGTTACCTCTGCCAAAGCTTCTGCTTTCTGCAGCAGAGCCTCTTCTGCTTTGTCTGGAGTTTTCTTCAGCGGAGCATGCAGACCTAGGTAGAGGATGTGAGGGCAGCCCCCATCATGCACAAAGTACCCATCTATCACGAGTAGATTGTGAAGGGAGATGGAGGGCTTATCCTGGGCAGGCAACTTTGTAGCCAGTGAGTGTCCAGGCCCCACCCACCCGGCCCTACCCCTACTCATACTGACCTGGGAACTCTGGGAACAGGACCTGGTCAGGCCTTCTGATGCCCTCCAAGGGGGCCAAGCCCATCTGGGCCCCCTGCGTTTCAGGCAATGCTAGCAGCAGGGCACAACTCAGCAGCACTGTGGTCAGCATGGCCTGGCTCAGCAGGAAAACCCACCACTTAGGTCCTCATCATCATAGGAGTACCCTCTAGGTGCCCAAAGAGAGTGCCTCCCACCCAGAGTAGGAGTTCCTATCAAACCCAAGGACTTACCTCTGCTTGCTCGTCCTTGCCTAGCGAGTTCCTGGCTACCTGTGCCCTCACTTATATGGTAGGGTCTAATGAAAGACCCACACGTGACTGCTCCCTGCAGCCACATATGAGGGGCCCTTCCTGGAGGGTGGGGGCAGAGTTCAGGCCTCACACCTTAGAGCCTGAACCTTTGGGTGCCCTACTAGAGGGGTGCTCATCTCCAATCTAGAGTGAGGACTCAAGCAGCCAATTAAAGTTTGTGTTCTAGGGCCCCCAAATTTCCACAGAACCCAAACCCAGAGTGTGGGGCCAGGCTGGAGCCATTAGCAATAACAAGGCAAGCGGCCCTGAGAGCTTAATTTAATTTCTGGCCCTGAAGATGCTCACTCAGGCCCTATGTGGAACGTTGTTTTCTTTGCTTCCAGGAACTTGGGTTAAGGACAATGAAGAGGGTGATGGGCCCGTCACTGTTGTGGGATTTCTTTGGAAATAGAGGGATAGGGAGACATCCACCTAGCCAAACATAGGCCCTTCTTGATTGCATTCCTGGTCCCGCCTCCCCTCCCTTTTCTCTCTTCTGGCTTCCCCAAGACCCCTACCCCTACTCCTGTCCACCAGTTCCTTCTGCACCTCAGGTTCCTGGAAACCAAGGAAGTAGAACGGACTGTTCCCTGGGTAGGCAAACAGCTTCAGAATAAAAAGCTTTCAGGCCGCTTGCCTCATTAGTGCTAATGGCTGCTCCCTTCCGGCCTGTATTGCCAGGCCTCTGCCCATGCTGGTCTCATCAGCATGAGTCTTCGATAAGAACTACCTATTTGTGGATGTGGAAGAACACAAAGGTCCCCACTTGTCCCTGCCTCCCCGCTCCTCTTTGGAGGGCTTTTTATTACACATGTGCCCACCCGGAAAGGGATGCAAGCTGAATCAGCTTAGAGCCCCCAGTGTACGATCGGGGCTGGCCCAAAATAGTGGAAGAGGATGAAGGAGTTATTGGGGTTTGCACCCCAGGTCCACACAGGCTGTTTGGATCAGGAGGATGCCTGAGGAAATCCTCCCAGCAGGTTGCCATCAGGCAGCCTTTTCCTGGAGTCAACAACTGTGTTTGTGTGCAGGCTTCATGGCAAGAAGGCCCTCTGCAGAGTGTGGGCCTAAGGCAAACTTCTTCCAGAGACAAGCACTGGTGTCCATTCTGGGATCAGGATGGCATTGGGCTCTCTCAAGTTTAGCTCAGAGTAACAATCCTTGGAGCTCAGAAATTCACTTATTACTGCCTCTGTGTGTGTGTGTGTGTGCGCGCGCGCGTAGGGAGTGACACTGAAGAATCAGAGAATTCACCCTTAAAGATAATCCAGCAAAGGGCCAGTCCCCTTATCTCCCTGAGAATGGTAGTGACAGTTTAGTGACCCTGTCCCAAAGCAGACCTGGTGTTGAGGCCTCTCTGAAAGATAGCATTGACATTTCCCAGAGGCTTTCTTTTCTCCAGAGTGGCATAGGATGAAGGTATCAGGCCCACAGTTGTGTTTATATCCTGGTTCAGTCACTTGGAGCTCAAGAAAGGGAATATGTTATTGTATATGAGGCACTTTCCCCAAATCCTTATGTTCTGTCCTCAACCCTAGAGATTCTGGCTGAAGAGGTGGGGAGCAAGGACTGCATGTAGACTGGAAAGGTTCTATAGGGAGTTGAGGTGGGGACTCTGGGCACCAGCTGGGCCCACTCAGTACCCATCCTAAGGACAACTCTTCATGTCTGGCATGGGGCCTCCTCCCACCCCAGTGCACAGCTATATGCTCAGCTGTGCATGTGCATGCCGGTGTATCTGCCCCATAGGTAGTGGCAGACAAGGCCCAAGGCCCTCAAAGGCACAGTGCATTATCCAGCTCAGGTCCAGTGGAGGAAACAAGCAAGAAAACCAACCATCAGAACATGATGGCAGCCAGGCACAGTGGTGCACACTTGTAATCTGAGCTACCTGGGAGGTTGAGGCAGGAGGATCACAAGTTCAAGGCCAACTCGGGCAACTTAGCAAGACTCTGTCTCAAAATTAAATATAAATAAATAAAAAGGACTGGAAATGTAGTTCAGTGCTCCCTGTATTCAGTCCCTAGGAACACATAGACACACACACACATCCACCTCAGCTGAAGGTGGGGAGGGAATTGACTAGGGAAAGCTCTTCCTGGAGAAGGGAGACTTTAGTCATGAAACTTGAGTAGAAGCTGAGGAATGACTGTCAAGGAACAGTATAAATTCCTTGGACTCATAACTAGCATACTGTGCTGTCTAGTTCTACTGCTTAACCCATGCTTTTCCCCAAACTTGGTTCACTCAAGGGCCCCATCCCAGTCAGTGAGTCAAATGAGTCATTTCTGTCATCTGGAGATGGGGAGATGATAACCCCCACCCAAGGTGCTCCTCAGAGTTAGTTTCATGAGTGAGTCAGCCAGCAGACATCTGTAGCTACTGTCAACTGCTACTGTACAACTGTTGTGAATGTGCATCTACTCAAACTATAGCCATAGGAGCCCAAAATCACTCATATCACCCATAAAACCAAGTAGAGTTCAGACGAGGAAATACACATTTGTTTATATCCTTTCCCACTCCAACCCCCTTTTTCCCTTCAATGCAGTGTCACCCAACTCCCTCTACTCAATAAACTGTCCCAAATGGGTTTCTTGTCATAGCTCTCTGTGTATATGTATACCTGTCATTACATCTATATTAAATTTTGCAAACAATGAATCCTTGGTTTCATTTACCAATTTTGTTACAATTAGAAGTTTCTGCCTTTCTAACATTTTCTGTGTTCCTTGGTGTTATGGCTTGAATATGATTAATTGTGTCTTCTTAAAGGTTCATGTGATTAAAATCTTAGTCCCCAGGGTGGCAGTATTGGGAGGTGGAGGGCCCTTTAAGAGGTGGGGCCTTGGGCAGAGGATTTGGCTCAGTGGCTCCACCCCCTGCCTCACAAGCGCAAGATCCGGAGTTAGAGCCCCCGTACCAAAAAAAAAAAGAGAGAGAGAGGTGGGGCCTAGTGGGAGGTCCCCTAGGTCTGGGGAACTACCATCTCTGGAGACTCTTTGAGTTCTTGCTGAAGGTTTGTTGTAAAGGTAACAAGCCCACCCCAACCCACAGCTTTCTGCTTCCTGTTGGAGATGTGGCCACTTGATCTGACTGGAGTACCTGGCATCTGTAATGGGGACTTTGTCAAGCTTCCGCTATGCCATTTGGACTCTCAGCCTCTCAAACTGAGCTAAATAAACCTCATTTTTTCATAAATAGCCTACCTCAGTAAACCTGATTAATTCACTTGGATTTTTATTTTTACCTTTCCTAGCAACTGAAATGCAATTGCCAATCCCAACGTTTAACTTTCCTTCTTGGATAGCAGTCGCCTACTTCCATTAGTCTATGAAAGAACCCCATTAGAGCCTGTTTCCTCAGTAAATGAGCATAAACAATGTGGGTGATTTTACTGGTCAGGAACCAGCCTGATGTTTGTTTGTTTCAATTTTTATTTTTTATTAGTACATGTTTGTAGTACATAATGATCACATTCCTCATGGGGAGTTGGAACATGTACATAACACATCTCAGCTCTTTCCTCATACCCTCTCCTCCCCCTCCCTTCCCCCCTCCCTCCATCTCTTGATCCCTTGCCCCTTCGCAAAAGATCTATCTCCCTGTTTCCTATTATCTTGGCAAAATGACCTTCAGAAATATGTAGTGTGTTCTGGTTGGAGGCTTTGGGAGAACTTGAGGTGCAGAGCCTACCTGGTGAGGCTGGGGCCCCGACTCCAGGGAAGAGAAAAGTGAGAGGGTCACAAAGACAAAGAGATGTGAATGAACCCCACCCCTCCTCTTCTTTTTCCTCCTGCATTACACTTCTTATCCCCAAGGGTGCTGTTCTCACATTGTCTCATGGGAGTGTTGGGTACACAGTGTAAATTTTCATTAAACTGCACTTTTAAAATTTGTACACCTAGGTTCAATCCCTAGCATTGAGAGAGAGAGAGAGAGAGGTTTATTTTACTGTGTTGCACCTTAATAAAGAACATTTTTTTTCTTTTCCTTTATTAGAGGTTCATAAAATAATGGAATGTCTAACAATAAATGAATGACCCCTTAGAGTTTATGATGTAGGGTATATTAAAGAACTACATCCTCAAAGAGAGGTGCCTCTTGCCTTATCCACTAGGGGCATTCTGAGGCTATTGTTTCTCACCATTGGATTTAAAGAAAAGACTTTAGGGCCTCACAGCCTCGAAAGAGCAACGTGTATGGAATCCAGTCAGCTCTGAGGGCACAGATTGTGATTTCAAGGACAAGGGAAAAAGTTCTTCAACCAGGGTTAAGACTTAAAGTAAGAGGAGCATAAGTTGATGTTTGAAGAACTTCCATTAGCATTTCTTGTAGAACAAGTCTTATGGAGATATATTTTTGATAAAGATTTGCTGCTGCTGACTTCTGGTGTGATGGCGCCCAATCGAGTGTCCTGAGTATGACGCTGAGAGCCCTCAGCGGGCTAGACCGCCTTATGTGACTTCTGCTGGCTGCAGGCTGCATGGGAAGGACTCTGGGGGACTGGTAGCCACGCGATAGAGGCAGTGACCTTTGAGCATGTGGCTGCGAACTCCACCAGGGAGGAGTGGGCTTTGCTGGATCCATCCTAAAAGAAGCTCTACAGAGATGTGATGTGGGAAACCTTTAGGAACCTGGCTGCCATAGGAAGAAACTCAGATGACCATCAAATTGAAGATGAGTACAAAACTTTCAGGAAAAGTCTAAGATATTCCTCCAGTCTTACAAAGAAAATTTAAGCACAGAGAACACTGATCTTCATCAAAGCCATAAACCTCATAGTGATCGTTTCTTGCATGGTGAGGGGCACATGTTAGCATCGGTATTTCACACATCACAGACATGAAGTTCAAATATGCTGCTCATGACTAATGATTTTATGCATCACAGAGACACTGAAGACAACAATGTCAATAAGTCTATACCATATACTGGCCCATAAAACATTCCTATGTAAATATAATAGAATCAAAATTATTGCATGCATATTATCAGATCATAGGGCAATGACACTAGAAATGTCAAAAATGTATACAAACTATGGGAACTCGAGAATACTATCTTCTATTAATGAGTCTCAGAACAAATTAAAGAAAACATGAGTTTCTAGAGTCCAGTCTAGAGTCTATAATACCATTTGTAGGAAAATGGAAGC